TTACTTTATCGACCACGTGGTTTATCAGACAAAGCTTCGTGGACCATCATTTCGTTGCGAGCCACAGGCAGATGGAACTTTGCTTCTTCACTACTACTCAAAAAGAAGTGGCCTCTACCCTATTGTTAAAGGTTTGCAAAAAATATCTTGCCGAATTCCTTCAGAATTCAGATTCACTGAAGAAAACTTAGGTGTGGTCCGTGAAGTGGCACGGCGTATTTACGACACCGAGGTCATCATGAAAGTGCAAGAGAGGAAGCAAGAACATTTAGGTCAGGTGATATTTTAGGATATTTTCAATCGAAGAGCAGAAAGGAGTGTTCCATGGGACCAAGGATAAGATAGCAAAGGGGGGGGCCTCCCCAAAATGAATAATGGATTCTCACCCACTTAACATTCTTCTATGGTTTCGTTCTTGTAGGCAACTTTCCACTCGTTCCATTGCAGTAACGATCATGTGTATGGGTCACATAAAACCTCAGCCAATCTCATAATTAACTATTTTGACCATGAGGTGTTCCTATGACGTGCAGGGAGAAGAGAAGACTAAGTCACCGTTTTTTTGTGAGCCTTCATCGGCTTTTACATCCTATGAGGTATCCATTGCAAATAGATTACCCTATACTCGAGGACGTGGAGATTATCGATAATTGCGAAACAGCAGGCCGTTGGCGATCTAAGACCGATAAAATTTATTTATTTATTTATTTATTTATTTATTCTTGGTCAATCACAGAAGGGCAATACGGAGTAATTATTCAGTATTTAACATACGATTGACTTACGTGAGATTATCTGAGGGAGAAGTATTTTAGTAGAAATAGAAAACTCCATAAGGCTACAACAGTTAGTGTCACTTAGTTTTACGGAGCAATATTTTATGCACCAATACATTCATGTAGATTGAAAGGCACTTGTTTTAGAAAACCACTAGCCACCGAGCCCTGAAAATAACCGACGCTGAGGCCGCAGCACTACAAGGGCGGGTGCATTTGCACCTCTTTGATCTAAACACGAACCCTAGGAGCTGGCTCAGGGGTGCTTACGAAGGCTATCTACTGGTGCGAAAGTGGGCGAAGCTGGATGGAGCTATATTATTAATAACGGTCCATATGAATAAAACCAGCGGATAGCGTATTGCTCGAGGGAGACAAAAGAAAACCAAAAGAACACGGATGGCACTTAAGGGGATGAAGGTACAGAGCTAATGGAGTTTTATTTCTCCCTATTAGAAACCAGCAATCGTCAAAGGATAAAGCTACAACTACGTCACAGATACAGTCGAAATTTCTTTTCTCCTTTGTTCAGAAAAAATAAATAAATTAATCAATAGATAGAAGTCGTCCAGATCCCGGCATGACGGAGCTACTAGGGTGCATGAGAACATACTAGAGCACCTGTGACTGGAATACTGATTATAGTGATCTGAAATAGCAGCGTTTAGAAATAAATGAAAAATGGATTAATAAGAAATTCCAAGAGAATCGGAACTGAGAAAAAAAAGAGAATTGAAAAGAAATATAAACATGTATGTATAAATAGATATACCAATAAAGATTGATTGAATTCACTGACACTATACTATGCCCAGAATCCTTTGAATCCTTTCAGTAGATGACAAATGTTACAGTAGCTGGGACCGAAGAGGTGTACTATAGCGTAACTGCCGTGGGTGGGAAGGACCACCTTGATCGTAATCCAATACACTGCACAATAACTAAGGTTGCTGCTCATTTAGTAGCATTGTTTTATAATGAAACAGGAAAGAAGCCGAATGTTCAACCTGGAGCATAACCGGGCTGGGTTAGTTTCATGGACTCTGAATTCTCGTAGGAAAAGAATTCTTATAAGAATCACTATGTGGAGTGTCTAAATGCACCTTATATGGATGACCTCTTGTGATGTGATGCCCACAAAGGGAGAGATTCGGAAGAACATTCGGCTGCCATTCCAGGGAATCCAGAAAATAGTTGGATTAGGTAAAAGCAGTGAACTTAAAAATATCGCGGGGGAATAACAAAGATTGAAATGTAGGTCAACCCTCATCGTCACTGTCCTGTGGCCGAGCAGAACACTGCTTTCATTTGAATGAAATCTTTCTAGGTAGTAATAGCTGAAATAAATGTTTAGATGCATTCGTGACGGAGCATGTTGTATTTGTCATCAGCCAAGTTGAGACTGCAGGTGGTCATCCGACAAAAGCAATATCTAGCAAAGTGGAACAGCTTGAGTCGAACACGGTCTGTTTCCTACATATTCACAGACAGAACTGTCTGTGGAAATTCACACTTGACACACCCTTTCAGCTACCGAGATCGAAGTCTTCGATTGGATAGGCATTTTTCATGTGAATTGGATTTCTCACAGATGTGACAAATCCTATGGAGGATAAGGATATTGAGGATATCTGCAACATTTGCTTGCTGTCGTGGTTCGGGAGCAGGTTGCCCTCCTAACCCTCCAACACGACGCATCGAGGTGGTTCGGGGCCCCCGTGGCCTTTCCCAGGCACACGTCGTTCTACGGGTCCTTCCCGGGGATCATGCGGTTTCCCGCACGCATGACCTCCGCACCCCGGGGCCTTACAGGGTTCCTAACCCAGGAACGGGGGGTTTACTGGGCCATGCCCTGCGGTAACAACCCCCAGCACATGAAGACTTATTGCACCCTTAATCGGACCCCAGCCCTGACGCCCCCAAGCTTACCCGTGCTGCTATACTTGTACACCACACTACACAGCTTGGACTCTTAGTTTATTAGCGATAGCATCCTTCGACGTCCTACAACTCAACTTCCTGCCGAGCCCGGCCAACGCACGTGGTCGTCCATAGCTTCCTGCGGTAACAGCGGTAACAACGGCCTGCAGCCGATAGTGTCCCTCGGGTGTAGCGGGACACTAACTTACCAGCGCTCCGAGCGAACGGGACAGCATGCCCGAACATGCTGACGGGTGCTAGCAGGCACCCCTAGCCGTTCGCCTTCCTCGCGTTGCCCGACGACCGTCTCTCCCGGAGGAGACGAAGAGCGCCGACTGGCAGAGGCGACCCTTTATATAGGCCTCGGCAGGAGGCGTGGCCGGAGGCGGAGCATGCCTCGCTCGGGTGCATGCGCCGCCATCGCGACCACCGGCGCGCGACAGAGGCCCGGCGGTGCGCCACGACCGTCGCCGCGAACCATGACATTTGCTAGTACTGCAGGGTGTCCCATAAATATTGCACCAAATTTGGATTAAAATTACGTAGGGGTTGAAAGCTTTTCTTCCAAGATTCGCAAAAGATTCGACGTGTGCGGTCACCGTGTGCGGCGGTTTTTTTTTCGCTGCTCCTCTATACATCAGTTTTTTGGCTAGTCTCTAGCAATTTTTGCTTCCTCTGAATAATCATATACCTTGCTTGCTGTGCTTGGACTTCTGTACCTGCCGATCCTGAGATTTCATTCCTCGGTGACTCGAAATCTCGTTTATTTTAGTTTTATTGACGCCATTGCTCACTATTGACTTCCTATTGACGTGCAGATCATGCCCGCCAAGGCCCAGCGCTCCAATAAATCAAAAGTTCAGGCTGGAAACTCTACCTCAATCTCAATCATCTTCTGTGGACAATGTAGATTTAGGTACTTCGGATGACACTAGTGAGAAGTATCGACTTTAGTACTTTTAGCGTGAGCCAGCTTCTCAAAGCGCTACTCGACGGAATACCGATCCAGTCATGGAAAAGATGATCGTAGCGCTCTCCGAAAAAATTCCGAACGAGGCAATCGAATACGTGGAAGGCTGAGAAGCGCTCAAGAAGCCTAGTGGTCAGCGGCCTTGAAGAGGCGCCGGCACATCTCAAGCCGTCCGAGCGTCAGAGAGAGCTCGAAAGCAAGGTAGCCGACTTGTTTGATGCCATACAAGTAGAGTGCCGCCCTGTGGAAGTCCATAGAATGGGCAAGCCAGACTCTGCGCGCCCAAGACTCGTTAAGATCCTCCTACCATCAAGGGCTTACTGGCGCACTGCTCTGATTAATGCTAAAAATTTACGCGCTTTAGGTTTCCCCAACGTCTTTGTGAGGAAAAGCCTCACAGCTGAGGAACGCAAACGGGAGTTCGATCTGCGTCAGCTAGCAAATGAGCGCAACAAAGGGAAGCCAAGCCGGGAGTGGGTCGTCTACAGGGGCAAACTCAAGCACATTGCTGACCTACCACAGTCTCAAATTTCGGGAAACGCATGAGCGAGCATGGCGAAGTGAATTTTTTGAACTGCTTTCTTTTCAACACTCGTAGTATTGTGAACAAAATTTCTAACTTACATGCATTTTTAAACATCAATAAGCCCGACATTGCAATTCTCACAGAAACATGGTTGAGTTCACGCATTTTAGATTCCGAGTTAGTGTTAAATATGCCGTATTCCGTGTACAGATGCGATAGGAAAGGAAGTAAAGGTGGCGGGGTGTGCTGTTTGATTAAGTCCTCCTTAATTTCGAAACAAAATAAGCTCCAGTACACCTTGAGAGCCGATATTCTCTGTGTCGAACTTATGAGCGACAAAGGCTTACCCACTGTGATGCTAATTGCCGTATACCGACCTCCCAGTTCTACATCCACTGAAGATGCCCTGTTAATAGATGCGCTCTCAGACCTATGCTCTATCCAGCCCAATACAATTCTTGTAGGCGATTTCAACCTAAGCATAAGTTGGATAACCAAGGAACCTTCAAACTCTCCTGCAGCTCACTTTCTTAACTTCTTTGAGAGCTGCGGCTTTACGCAACATGTCAGCCAGCCCACACATGAACACAAACTTTTGGATCTCGTCCTATCCACAGGCGTTATGGTTTCCAATGTATCTGTTCGTGCACCCTTCGCTAGTTCCGACCACAACATGGTAGTCTTTCGTGTTGGCCAAGATGTGTCTCCAGTAGAACTACACCCTACTCCTGACTTCTTTCACACGGATTTCGATAAACTGAACGTTCATCTGAAACATGTCGACTGGTTCAACGTTTTTGATAAATACACCTCCTCAACTGAAATCTATGATAGATTTTGCTCACAGATGCACTTAGCAATGTCCAAGTTTATTCCTTCCAGGCTTCCTCGTCGCACTTGGTTTGAATATCGCTCCCATATCAGGAATTGGTTAGCCCAAAAAGATAGACTTTTCCGAACTAGACCATCTCCTTTGTCCGACTCTTGCTACAGAAAGGTTTGTACTGATCTAACCAGGAAGGTCTTTCAGGGCGTGACGAAGCTTTTTGAAAACGGTCTTTTGCATGATATAGGGGCAGATGCGGGAACCACAGAACCATGTTTAATTTTTCCTGAACGGCCCTCTGAATACCAGAAAAGGGGGTCCCTAGTTCGATTCCTCTTGGTG